ACTGAAGGTAGGTAGAAGAGACTCAAATGTGATTATGAATGGTGTGTGTGTGTGCATGTATATGCAGCTACTTTTACTAAATAGGCAATACAAACATTCTGGATAAATTTTCCCTCCCACCAAATAGAAGTTCAAGGTGTTCAGTACTTGCTGTGCAACTATTCCCAAATGCCATCTCTCCATGAATACATTCAACTGGCTTGTTACAATACAAATGTGGCAAGAAAGAAAAGTTTTACAATGACTTTCCACCCTCCCCCCTTAGTCTAATTTTCTCTTCAGAGGCTTCACATGGCACCAGTGGCTCCAGTACTCCTTCCTTCTGCAGCTTTCACAGGCATCTGGGGAAATGGTAGGACTTGGGAAGATGTTCCACTCAGGTTCCATAGTGGCTTTTTAGTGGATGGCTGGATTCAAAACCCAATTCCATGGCTCAAATGGATGGAGGCAGCATCTGGGTCTGTGTGTTCTGCTTCCAAAGGTTTGGGGGCAGGGCTGAAAGATACAAAAACAAGATCTTCCCCACCTTTCTGGGTGGACTCTTCCAGGAGAGGCAGACAAAAGTTATGGAGAACAAAGGACAAGAAAAAGAGAAGTTCATGAGGGAAGGGGGGGGGGGGTTGCTTGCAGGCAGTTTTGAAAAGACATTAATACTGCAGTTGTTAAAGAATCAGGCAAACAAAATGAGGACATCCCAGATGACAAAAGAAAGGCTGGATTCAAACTAGAGTCCTGGACTTTAAGAGAGCTAATTTCAATAAACTTGAAAGGGCTTGGGAGGGATTCCATGGATGAGAATCCTCAAGAGAAAAACAAGAAGCTTGGGCAATTTAAAAAATAACCCAGTCTAGCACAATACCAACAAAGAAAAATAATAGCTCTAACAAGAAACCAGCATGGCTGCATAAAGAACTCTCTAATAAATTGAAAGATAAGAGGGTTAGCAGAATATTAGCAAATAGTCTGAGCAACAAAGATGAGGTGAGGAAAGCTAAGGCTCAGAATGAACTAAGGCTTGTGACCAAAGTCAAAAATAATAAAAAAGCAAATAGTCCAACTTATCAAAAACAGTACCATAAAAAATAGATTAGAAACACAAGTTAAGATAGGCAAGAATGGTAAATGAGCACCTATCCAGTTCAAATCACCAGGACCAGATGGATTACAACCCAAGATTAAAAAAAATAGATCCAGAAAACTACTAACCCATCATCCTGACCTCAATACCTGGGAAGATTCTGGAAAAAATGATCAAACAAGAATCACTGAACACCTAGAGGCAAAAAAAGTCATTACTAAAAGCCAACGTGGGTTTCTTAAAAACAGATCATGCTAGAGACTGCATTCTTTGGCCCAATTACAAAATTAGTGGACTAAAGGAATGCTGTGGATATAATTTTCTTGGACTTCAGTAAGGCATTTGATATCTTTCGTATAGGGTTTCCTGCCTGAGCAGGGGGTTGGACTAGATGACCTCCAAGGTCCCTTCCAACTTTATTATATATTATTAAATGCAAGAGTGAAATCTTTTTAGCAGATGAACTTAAAACATTCCCTCCTGCTAACTTTGGGCTGTTCTTAAGAGTACACAGAGAGAAAGAGGACAACAAACAAACAAACAAACAAACACATTTTTCTTCACTCTGTTTGTTGGCCAGACAAACAGAGTGAGGTATTTCCTTTTTGTGGCTTATTTTAAGCAAACTTGCTAACAAAATTTAAAATTATTTTCTCTTTGGATTTTAAACAGTTAATAGTCACATTTACCTCACACACAAAGACTTTGACAAACATGTATACACAAAGACAAGGAAAACAGAGAAAGATACAGAAGTCTTAGTTTTACACATTCTAGTCATTCCCACCTTAAGTTTCAGATAGCTCAAATTAGGGAAGGCACACATTTTAAACAAACCACGTGGTTGCACAGAGAGAGAGAGAGAGATATAGAGAAAATCACTATCTTATTTTCCCAGTTTCATCCTTCAGCAAAGCCCACTCATTACAAATTTTCCTAGCTCGTTTCTTCCAGGACAGGCACTCAGCCTCTCATCCCATACCACGAGCAAATCTCTAATTGGTTTCCTAATTTCAACCCTCGAACTGCAGCTACCCATGTTCCCCTTCTGATGTGGGGTCCAAAAACTTGCTCAGTCGGGTTTCCTTTTCTCTCAGCAGCACTTCCCAGCCGCTCTTAGCGACAACAAACCTGTCGCCCCGCCTCAGTTTTTGGGCACTAAAAAAATTGCCCAGGAAGGACTCCGGTCCCTACACGGAGTAAGTGGCCCTTCCTGTTTAGGGACTCCCCCTTGGTTTTGCGGACCTCAAAAATACGTTGTCCGAGGAGGACCTGCGCACAGGTACCCGGCCTCCGTTTCCACACCGCCTATCAGTTTTACAGACTTAGAAGCCTGCTGAGGACCTATGCTTTGTGCAC